AACCTCTGATGTAATTATTGTTATTTTTAGAAACAATATGATGAATAATGACGTCTTATTCGTTTTGTTGAGACCCAAGTGGAACAGCGGCATGTCTGCGGACTTACAACGTTAGAAACCAGGTTTCAATACTTATGGTGGGCAGAACACAGATAGCCCATTGTCTAGCTTCGTGCTTAAAACTACAGACAAAACAGTTTGTAGATATTAACTAAGAAAGTATTGCAGTGTTCGATAGGCATAAAGCATACATGATGTTTTGTTGTTTTTATGTAGTTTCATATTCCATGAGTTGCTTAGCACTATACAATACATGAAGCCAACGAAGCGGCTACCACTTAATGAGTAATTTGCACAGAAAATACAGAGATCACTTTTTGCTCAATTAGAAATAAATGCTTAAATTTTATTCAGTGAACAAACGAATATAGCTAACAAGAAAAAAAAGCTATAAGCAATTAAAACCACGAGAAAACTAATTCCAGAAATACCTACTGTAACCTATACTTAATGTCTGATAGACGATGCTCCCGAATCTAAAGAAAGACATGCACGTTAATAAACTTTTGTTGAATAATGTAATGAGTATAAGTGACTCTGTCCAACGCGGAATTTCTTACCCCTGATTTTAGCATTGTAATTTGTAAGTCCATATACTTACTACTGGCTCATCTGGAGACTTAAAAAATTAACAAAAAATACCTTTATTACTAGTTTAAATACTTTGAGTGAACTATACATTAATCTTGTGACTTTATTTGTAATCTCTAGACAACAAATTTCAAAACTGTAACGGGGCACTAATAGATTAGACACCACTCATTAACATAAATAAAATGTTTTGTTTTAAGACTATGTAAGATTAACAAAAATAGATCCCTATGGAATGATAAGCGTTTCAATATACTTTACATATGTTCAACCTAAATAGAGAAAATTATGCATTTTGAATTTAAAACCAAGAAGTAAGTTAAATAACACAATAACATGGAGAAAAAAAAACTGTTTAAAAATTGCTAGATTTTTCAGCTTGTTATAATTATATGTGAATATAACTTTATTCAGACATGTTCATGTAATTTCTTTTTTAATTTTCTTGCAATCTGCATTTAGTTAGTTGCCCCCATTTTAAAGAGGGCGTTAAAGGCCATACATTTGCACTACTTTTTTTCTGTTACACAAAAATCACATATCACAAAAGTTACTTTATAGTTTGTTTGTAATTAAGCACAAAGCCACTATATGGGCTATCTGTGCTCTGCCCACCACGGGTATCGCAGCCCGGATTCGAGCGTTGTAAGTCCGCAGACATTCCGCTTTGCCACTGGGGGCGTCACTTTATAGAGGCTTATGTGGTTTATCCACGTAAAACTAAGTTAACTTTAAAGCAGTGGCAGATTAATTAACGAGGGGCTGCTGCCCAGGAGGTCTTAAAACTTTAAGCTAGGATACTGTATGTTAAGAATGTTGTTGGAAAAGAAAGAATTATTAGAAAGGAAATGAGTTTAAAAAAAAAAAACGTTTCTTTTAAACTGGGAGTGCTATATAGAATCTGTTTATAGTTGTGAATAAATACATTTTTGAACAAATATTATGCTGTTAAAATGGGATTAACAATGAAAATTATACATATAAAAATGGAATATAATTATAAATATACAAACATCTGTAGACCAAAATTTATATCTAACCGCGAAGTAACGCTTATCTTGTACAACAAAAATGATATGCCTGAGGGGGACCCATTTGATCTATTGTCCCGGGGCCCCGAAGTGTTTTATCCCGCCACCGTTTTACAGCATTAGGACAGGCCTGCTTAATAAGAGTAGAATTCGGTCAAGGTATATATATATTACGAAGTAATCTATGTTTCTGAGCAGCTTAGTCGTAAAAATGAATGAAATAAAAAACTGGACTCAAAATGAACAATCTTTATTTGTATCGCACATAAAACGTAAACACAGCGTGTGTATTGCTTTTTGACATGGGATAATTACTTCTACTGTAGCTTGAGCTGAATCCATATACCAAACTAACTAAATCTGGCACTTCATATTTTGCAAGAAACGTCATATTTACTTAGAGCGGCTAACACTAACATGTGATTTGACCTTCTTATTCAAACATAGAAGAGCCCGTAACCTCGAGATATAACGAAAAACTCAATTCAAGGACACTGCTGTCAACATTCTTACACAACGTGCAGTATTGCGGCAACACATCCACGGGCAGAACTGATATATCCAGCCAAGAATAACAAAGGAACAAAGGCAGTTAGAACTAACTCAACTTCAAGGTTTTTTTAACCACTGGTTATGTGAAACCTGAATAAATAACAAATTCAGAATAGATACAGTTGCAAGCTATAGTTTCAAGGTTATAATTTAGTTATTTGCTAGAGTTAGCTGCCAATAACGATGATGATGCTATATTTAGAAAGTTCACGATAATATTGTTACGACAGTGGAGGTCACGTGACTCTAGTAACACGTCATATTCTCGAAGCTTCGTGAATCCTTGGGAGGTTACTAGATTTCGGTATTCTTTTATATATAAGATGGTCAAGACGTGACGGCAACAATGTGTAATGCTGTGTAATTGAACTGCGGACAGAGAGAGAGAATATTGTTGAGTCGAGCACGTGAGACGTTAGTTGTGAATTATAGCTTTTGTTATAGCGCGACTGTGGAAATTAAGTGTATTGCAAAGTTGTATTCAGAAAGAATAAACCAGTTTTATTTAAGAAAGGACTTGTGTCGCTAAAGTTTCATCGAAACAATTTTTACGGAAGATTAACTAACGAAAAGAGGCATAACAAATTGGTGTCAGTGAGTGGGACGGAAAAGAAGCGGCAAATCAAACTACAGCTTAGCAGATTTGATGGCAGCAAAAGAAACAAGAAG